TACTTCCAAATAAAACAAAAAAAGACCTCTAGTGAAGTGAAGACCTGCAGCAAACGCCAATTCAATTGGTTGAGGTGCAAACAGGGAAGACCATGACATTTAGGAAACCTTTGGGAAAGCAAACCACAGCACACAGCACGTTGTACCATACCTTAACTCATTGGTTGAAGCTTCTTCAACACTCTCCTTTATTACTTCTTCCATTAATTCCATACCCAGCAACTGGCTCAACTGCTTTATTAACTGTTCTCTTTCCTGCTTTTGCCTGGAAGGTCAGAGAAAAGACTTACACAAGTGAAAAAATTTACACTGGCAAACCTGGCACTACACAGAGTGTCAAACAGCTAATTTCCCTAAAATTGAGTTCCCACTAGCTGATTTGTAAAGATAAACAGCCTTGCATGGAGCTCGGTTTTCCTCAAAAATATTGATGACAGTGGGGTTATTTGAGGGAAGTATCCACCCATGAGCAACCTGATCTAGCGAGTGGCATCCTTGCCCATGGCAGGGAGTTGGAAAAGTTCCTGCACACAGCAGGGCCAGGAAGCACATCCCTTTCTTGAAGCTCTGGGTGAATAAAAGTTACTAAGATTCCCACCCCATCTTTTCACAGTGGCTCTGTGAGGTCACCAAAATGCTAACTAGCAGATCACCTGAGAATCGACACCTTCTACATGATCCCAGGGGAGTTCAAGGTGAGACAGTTCTGCCGGCGTGGCAGAAAGACACTGGGGCTTGAGCACAGGCACAAGGACTCAGGTTGGCACCAGCTGTCCATACGTTGTCCAAGGGTGTCCCCAGCCCACCCTGCCTCACCTCTCTTCCTCCACTCTGCGCCGTTCCTCCTGGACACGCTGCCTCTCCACACTAAGCACACTTCCAGCCACTTGTCTGAGGATCTCCCCCATCACTTCAGTCACGAGTTCCTCCACAGCGGCCTCTGAGGTGCTGTGCAGAAACAGCAAAATCTCTTTTCAAAGCCAGGAAGTTTTCATTCAAAGCCTCAGGTCTGTGCTTTTCTCACCCACACCTTGCTCTTTGTGGTGAGCTGACTCCAGCCACTAGCCAAGCACCCACACTGCTACTGGCTCACTCCCCTTCCCACACTGGGACAGGGAAGAAAGTAAGGAAATAAAAAGGAAACCCACAGATGGAGATGAAAATACTGCAATAGGGAAAGGGAAAACCCCCACACCCCCACAAAGCAAAGCAAAGGCAGGCAGCCACCACTTCCCACCTCAGAGCAATGCTCAGACAGTCTCTAATCAATGTCCACCCTGAAAGCCAGTAACCCCCACCTTCTTCCTCTAACCCAGTTTTATTGCTGACGATGACATCCCATGAAATAGACTTTAGCCAATCTGTTCCAGTTCAGCAATAACCAAAACACTGGTGGAATAATAATTGTTTGGGTCACATCCCACATCTACAACTCTACCAACTGCCCTGGAGAAAAAACATTTATCTGAAGCAAAGCAGCCAGATCTGGACTTGCTTGTCTTGTCGCCCCTTTGGACACCTTCCCTTCCACAACATAGGTTCCTTTGCAAGGCAAGGCTTCCAGAGGTTTGGGTGAGCCTTCCCTTAGGCTACCTGGCACGTGACAGAGTGGCAGGCATCCGAAGAAAGGTCTGCCTTCCCCTCAACCACCTCAGTAACACCACCTCCGCTACAGACCTTGCAGTGCTCAGTTTTACAATTTTCACACATGGGGATGCTAAGGCAGGTGGCGGCTTTGGTGACACACTCCAGGAGAACCAGCAAAAAATGTTCTTTACCAGATGGCAGCGGCCACGTAAGCTGCTCCTGCTCTGCCCACTTCTCTGCACTCTCCTTTGAGGACCTCATGCACCAGCCCATCCACCACTTCGGCAATGTCCTGAAATAAAGCACAGGAAGCAGCTGAAGCAAAGGTGCAGTCCTTACCACAGTGGCCTGGGTGTAAACTGAGAGTAAGGCTCTCTAGCCTTGGTTAGCTGACTGTAATTCACAGCACCACCTGTATTTCTGCTTACAAACTGAGCCAACTTAAGCAAACACAACAGCCTGGAAATTTTAGACTACGAAATTTTAGACTATCTAAAAGGTTAGTAAACAGCCCAGAAACAAAAGCAGCTTTCTGTACTAAGTTCAGGCAAGTCAAGTCAGGAAATCATAACTAAGAAGAGAGAATATTGAGAGAGATTCCTATTTTCTTACTTTAGACTGTCTCTTATTCTAGCTGATTTAATTCCAAATGAGCAGGTCTAACCCCTGAAACATGGCCACATTTAGGTACAATACGGCAGCTGTGCTGTACAAAGCAACAAAACACCCCGAGATTGGTTCAGCATTAGAACAAACATGTGTGGGAGCATGAAAAACAGCACAGGTACACGGGGTACACATTCAAGATCCAACATTATTGGTCATGTACTCACAAGAAGGAACTTTGTCATGTCTCACTTGAAATACGTGCACATTCCAGAAAACTAAAAAACTCTGAGAACTCGGTTACCTTTTATTACATTTCACAGACCTTTCCCAAATATTTCATGATGGATTTATGTTTCCCTACCGTGTCTGTGTAGCCAGGCTGAGGCTTTGAAGGGAGAAGCTCAGGTTGAGCAGCAGCTTGGGAGATGGGCTGTGCAGGAGGCAGCCCTGGCACAAGCTGACGAGGCAACAGTGAGGGCAGAAGATGAGCCTGGGGCTGGATTCTTACTGCTGCAGCCTCTAAATCCACACCTCTGCTTTCCACTCTTCCTTCTTGGGAGGGGAGAGGAGAAAAATTAAGGAAAAGAGGTCAGTCACAAACAGAAGCAAAACTGTTATCTTCAAAAGCTGACTTGTCTGATGAAACTCATCAGGCCATAAAATAAGTCTGTAACAGAAGCTTGTCACCTTAAAGTTAAAAACATAATTATATCATAGAAACTAATTTCTATTTATGAATATTTTATACAAAACATTCAAAAATTTCACTGCATATTACCTCCAGTACAAAGCACATATATTTCCAACAAAACAACTGTTTCAAGTCAAGCACACCTTACCCCTACACACAATATCTGTATTTTCAGCAAGGACAGAAAAGCATGCACTCAGCTAACATGAAAACCAACATGATTGGGATACAGTGGGAACAAACAGCTGCAAATCAAAAATGTGCAAACTGCAAAGGGAAGCTGGTGTTCTGGAGTAGGCAAATATCTTATTATTTCGCCTACGTTGGCAAAATTTGGCTCAATTCCCATAGTGTGTTTCCTGAACTGGGAAATAAATTTTATTGGTCAGGTTGTTCTTGGCTTTTACAGATACATAAAAACAGCTGAGCAATCTGGTCTAGTGGAGGGTGTTCCTGCCATGTCAAGGAGGGGGGCAGGGGGGCTGGAACTAGATGAGCTTTAAGGTCCCTTCCAACCCAAACCATTCTGTGATTGCGATTATGATTTATATTTTAATGTTTTTGTTACATTCAGATTTCCAGGCAATTTCAAATCCTATCAGCCAAGTTTCTCCTCACAGAGCTGACTCAGCAGCATGTACCTGAGCAACACCTAAAATGCATGTTTGCTATCACCTGTTGTTTCCATGCTGGGTTTTTGGCTATTGCCAGCTTGATCCACAGAGGTGCTTCCACCGATGTACTTGTTCTGTCCGTTGAAGCTGGATACAGGCACATGGTGGGGCACTGAGGGCAAAGGCCCTCCGTTCACAACCTCCCCAACTGAGACAGTGAGCTTCTGGCTGACAAATACGGACTTCCGAGGTTTGGGTAACCCGTCGGGCTCAAGGAAAGCGGAGCGATTCAGCTCCACATAACCCCTGGGGAAAAACAAAAACAACTGCCAGGAGTATATCCCCAAAGCTCCAGCAACCTGCAGGTTTTCAGTTTGCAAATATATTGCTTCAAAAGAGAACATTGACAGGAAATAGACAACTGTCCTAGTTAGAAGAGCTGGGCCCAGTTCATCACTGGATGGGTGTAACCCAAAACTGTGTATTCTATAGCCTTCCATGCCATTTCCCAGAAACTGCTATCAACAGACTATTTGCACCCTCTGCCCAGAGCAGCCTGACTCATCTTAGCACCTTCAAACTAAGAGGCCTTCGAGACAGAAGGGTGTTTTTGTCCTCACGACCATTGAGGAACACCCCGCCCTGAGGGAAGTACTGAGCATTCCTGCCTGAACTGGAGGATATATAATCTTGGAGTCTTGGGACTTTTTTAACCACTCGTGGGATCCAGAGGAAGACTGCAGACCACCACTCTCAACCAGACTGCAGATCACCACCCTCGACCGGACTGCAGACCACCACTCTTGACCAGACTGCAACAGCACTCTCACCAACAGGTTTTCCCCCCTCTCCTTTTCCTTTGGACTCAGGGGGCCCAACGAACACCACTCTGTTCATGCCCCAGGGTGCTGGGTTATATACATTTGGGTTTTGTGGGTTAAAACCAATTGTTTGTCTGTATAATCGTACTTATTGTATTATTTTATTAAATTGTTATTCTGACTTATAATCTCTGTTTTTTTGGGTTGAGTTCATTTTCCCCTGCTGGTTTACCTTTAAACCAACACAACCACTAATGGGGTTTTTTTCCTTCTCCAGTCTCTTGAGATTCCAGGTTTGGACGATCACACAATGTATGGATTTCCATGGCAGACCTGTGAACCACTGACTTCCAACACTCACTAAAAACTAGCCTGCAATGTTCAGCTTCATCCCACCCTACAGGAATCACCATAATGCCAGTTTCCCAAGAAGCAGAACTGTCTTTCTAATAGAGCTGCAGTTTACAACAATTCAACTGCAAAACAAGAACTCAGACTAATTTTTTTTCCTACTGGCTTATCTTCAATGTCTCCTTCTAGGGAAGAAGTCCCTGGAGCCCAGTGGAGACTGAGCTCAACATGCAGTTTTTCCTTTGGGGAAAATGTTTTTCTCTTGTTTTTACCACCCTCCAGAAGGCTGAAGGAATTTTGATCCTTGAAACCCCTTGTCATCTTATCAAGCCAAGGAAAATAAAGAAGCCAGTGCCAAGAGTGCCAAAAAGAGTTGTGGGAAGTCTTCTCTCCTATGAAGACAGACTAAGGGAGTTTGGATTGTGCAGCCCAGAGGAGAGAAGACTCTCCAGGGAGACCTGCCTAAAGGGGCTCTGAGAGAGTTGGAGAGGGACTTTGGACAAGGGCAGTGCCAGGACAAGGGGGAATGGTTTCCTACTGCCAGAGGGCAGGGTAAGATATTGGGAAGAAATTCTTCCCTGTGAGGGTGGTGAGGCCCCAGCACAGGTTGCCCAGAGAAGCTGTGGCTGCCCCACCCCTGGAAGTGTCCAAGGCCAGGTTGGATGGAGTTTGGAGCAACCTGGGCTAGTGGAAGGTGTCCCTGCCCATGGCAGGGGGTTGGAATGAGATGAGAGCTTTAAGGTCCCTCTCACCCCCAACTCTTCTGGGATTCTATGAAGCAGCTACAGGGATACCAACCCCTTTTCTTGAGAGAAAGATGCAAAATTAAAGAACTTTTCATAGTTACAGCAATAAAAACTATATTAGAGTTTGCACCCATCAGTACCCCAGTGCTTTGCCTAGAGAGTTCAGCCCCTACTCTTCGCCTGTTCCTTTTTTTTGGATCCAAACTTCAGGAGCAACTCCCCTACATTTAGCCCTTTGCCTGACATCAGTCTGAGCCCCCCAGGGATCATTTTCCTCACACTTACCCATCTGATACACTCAGGCCATAATAACTTATAAAATCAGATGCCTCCTCACAATCTTTGAACAGCAGCATGCGGACCAGGTGGTCCAAGGGAAACGCTGTACATCTTTGGGTGCTCACAGTGTAGGCAATATTGAGGGATTTGAGACCATCTTTACGAATCTGGGGGAAGAGAAAAGGAAAAGCCACATAACTACCAAGAAAAAAACCCAAAATGCAATATAAAGCGTACAATAAACACGAAAATCACGTTTAAATACACCGATACTTTGTCATCAAATACCCACACCAACAACTATTCAGATTTAACTTTCTTTTTAAATTCTATGCACTTGGCTTTCCAGTTTCTGTTCCTCTTTCATGACGCTCATTTTTGAGCGTATCCCTTTGTGAATCTTGTGCTGAAAAAACACCTTGCAAGGGCTTCTGATAGTGCAGGTTCATATTTGCTCTGCAAGATTCCCAGGCCTGTTTCTCTGCTTCCCAATTATTATTTTCAGGGGAAATACATTTTGTGGTGTGCTGTTGGGAACTAGGCAAACTACCATCAGACCTTCGAGATGCAGTCATCATCACTTTGTATAAGAAGAAAGGAATTAAATCAGATTGCTCAAATTACCGTGGTATTACTCTGCTCTCCATTGCTGGCAAAATCCTGGCAAGAATACTCTGGAACAGACTAATACCCGCTCTTGACGAAGGAATTCTTCCTGAAAGTCAGTGCGGTTTCAGAGCCAACGGGAGTACCACAGACATGGTATTTGTCCTCAGAC